CCCCCCTCTCCTCCTCTTTTAAATCAATAACAATGAAAAACCCTTAAGTAAACTAAAAAAGAAAAAGAAGATTTAGGGGCTGGGGCTGTAGCTCAGAGGTAGAACACTTGCCGCGCACACATGAGGCACTGGGTTCAATCCTCAGCACCACATAAAAATAGATAAATAAATAAAGGTATTGTACCAACTACAACTAAAAAATACTTATTAAAAAAGAGTTTTTTAAAAAGAAGATTTAAATATTTAAAATCAGAAATAAAAGAGGGAACATTAAAATCAATGTCACAGAAATAAAAAGAATTACAAGAGACCACTATGAATAATTACATGCCAACAAATTGGATAAGTAAAGGAAATGGATAAATTCCCAGATGCATAAAACCTAACAAGACTGAATCAAAAGAAATAAAAAATATGAATGGACCTGTAATTAGCGAGGAAAATGAAGCAGTAATCAAGTTTCCACCAATGCAAAGCCCATGGAACTAGATGATTTCACTACAGAATCTATCAAACATTTAAAGAAAAATCAATACCAATCCTCCTTAAACTCTTTCAAAGAGCTGAAGAAGAGGAAATTGCTCCAAATTTCATCTTATGAGACCAGCCTTACTCTAATATCAAAACCAAAGACTTGACAAGAAAACTAAAGACTAACACCTTTGATGAATATTGATTAAAGACTCCTCAACAATACATCAGCAAACCAACAGTACATTGAAAGGACTGCATAGCATGACAACTCAGATGTGTGTCTGGAATGAAGAATGGTTCAATGTGTAAAAATCAAGGGGTGAGTATACCACATTAACAGAATAAAAGGTAAAAACTGGATGATCATCTTGATTGATGCAGAAGAAGCATTTGACAAATTTAATACCCTATCATGATAAAAACTGTCAATGAACCAGAAGCACATTACTTCAACATAATAAAAGTCATATATAAGGAGTCTACAGCTATGGGCTGGGGCTGTAGCTCAGTGGGAGAGCACCTGCTTTGCATATGTAAGGGCCTGGGTTCAGTCCTAAGCACCACATAGAAATGAATAAATAAAGATATTGTTTCCATCTACAACTAAATAAATATTTTAAAAAGAAGAAGGTACAGCTGATATCACTCAATGGTGAAAGACAGAGAGCTTTTCCTCTAATATTAGGAAGAAGGCAAGAATGCTCACGCTTGCCATTGTTATTATTCAATATAGCACTAGAATCAGACAAGAAATAAAAGGCATCCAAACTGGAAAGGAAAGTGCTCACAGATGACAAGATCTTACATATAGAGACCCCTGAAGATTCCACAAAAAACTGCTTAAATGAATAAATGACTTCAGAACATTGCAGCATACAAAACTGACACACAAAAATCAGATTTATGTCTATGCAATAACAATGCCCAACTGGAAAAGGAAATTAAAAAAACAATCCAATTTACCGTAGCAGCAAAAAGATAGACTACTTAGAAGTAAACTTGCCTTATCCCCAGTCCCACAAAAAAAATAATAATAAAAGTAAACTTGCCCTAAGAGATACCCATGAACACTGAAAACTCAAGACACTTTAAAAGACATAAATAAATGGAAAGAAATCCCATACTCATGGATTGAAAGACTCCATACTGTTCAAATGTCCACATTCTTCAATCCAAACCACAGACTCAGTGCAATCCCTATGAAAGTCTCATTGGACTTTTTTTTTTTTTTAAATTTTAAACAGATACAACATTTTTTATACCTTTATTTTATTTATTCATTTTTATGTGGTGCTGAGGATCAGACCCAGGGCCTCTTACACATGCCAAGCAGGCAGGCGCTCTACCACTGAGCTACAACCACAGCCCCTCAATGGAATTTTTTGCACAAATAGAAAAACTACCCTAACATTCATAAGAATTCTCAAGGGAGTTCAAATAACCAAACAATCTTGGGGGAAAAGATAATAAAGTTGGAGGTCTCACATTTTCTGATTTTAAAACATACTAAAAAGCAATGGTAATCAAGAAATACAGTACCGGCAATACAGTCAGCTATAGAGACTGATGGCCCAGAACAGAGAACCCAGAAAGAACCCTGGCATCTACAGCCAAGTGGTTTTCATCAAGGATGTCAAGACTACACGGTGAGGGAAGAGGCATCTCTCCCACAGACGGTGCTGGGGGAGCTGCAGACACACAAGCAAAGGCGTGGAGCTCAATCCCGACTTACACCCAAACAAACAAACAAAAGCTCACTCAACATGGACTAAAGACCTAAACATAACCTGGAAAGCTGCAGAGCTTCCTGTTGTGAAGCATTATCCACATGTAGGGGAGAGGCTTCAGGTCACTGGATTGGGTGGGGATTTCTTAGATATGGCACCAAAAAGTACAGGCAACAGAAGCAAAAATAACCTGCATGGCAGGTTATGATGTGCATGTACCTAAAAATTTCTGCATGTTGAAGGAAAAGATCAACAGAATGAAGAAGCCATTCAGGGAATGAGAAAAAAACTTGGAAATCACATATCCAGTAAGTGGCTAATAACCAGAAAACATAAGGACGTCTACAACTCAAAGATAACAACAGCAAAATGACCTAACCTAAATGTGGGCCATGGTCTTGGATAGACACTCCTCCAAGGAAGACCTCAGATGGCCCACATGCATAGGAAAATGTGCTTTGCATCACCAACCACAGAAGGAAGATCCAAACTACCAGGAACTACCAGCCACGTCCATGTGGATGGCATGATCAGAACAGAAAATAAAAAGCACAGATGAGGATCAGGGAACTGGGGAGTCCTTGTGGGAATGTAAAATGCTGTTCTAATTATGGAAAATAGTGTGGAGGACACTAAAAACCTAAAGGTAGAATGACTGTGTGATCCAGACATCCACCCCTGCACACACTCCCAAGAGAACTGAATGCAGGGTCTCAAAGGCACACATGCACACCCATGGTCACAGAGCATTATAGACAAAGTGTGGAAGCAACCCAGCATCCATCAACAGAATGGATAAAAAAGCCCACGACACACATCCAATGGAATATTACCCAGCCTTAAAAATGAAACTACTCACCTGCTAAGACATGGACGAATCTTGAGGACATTATGCCACGCAAAATAAATAGGCTAGTCACAAAAGGACCATTGACTCCACTCACTTGGGACAAAGCAGGGGGTAGCCACCAAGGGCTGTGCGGAGGGGAGCGGGACAGCTGTTAAGGAACGCAGAGTGTCAGTCTTACAATATGGAAGCGCTCTAGAGATGTCTTGCGCTCAGTAGGAATATGCGCAGCGCTGCCAAACTGCACTCTGAAGTTGAGACGGCAAATTCAATGCCACGTGTTTCTTACCATAGTGAAAAAGCCTACCAGATGGAAACCTGCATCTTAAAGAAGCAAGTCAATCTTGTTAATCTCACATCCAGATGAGTCAGTCCTACCCATGCTGCCATTTAGAATCCAGGTCATTTTGTGTTGGTTACAACTAGAAGTTATTTAAACGAGTACTAAATAGATGTAAGATGAGGCCAACGGTTGCCTTTTAAAGGTCTGAAGATCACTGCACAAACAATTTTCTTAAAAATTCATGGAAACTAAATTCGTGAAACTCTATGTGATGAAACCCAGCAGAACCTGCGAGGCAAAGGACGGCCTTTACTATAAACTCTGTGTCTTCAAAGATGCCAGACATTTGTTTAACGTGGCACCGGCTCAGCACCCATTCTGAAGCTTGACATAATTATTCAAAACCCAGTTGTACCTTGTCACCTTTGGCCTGGTAAAACATCCTCTCCGTATCGGTGATGTGACCCACTCACTCTTCGTCTCAGACACCCAAAACCCAACACATGGTCGACACTGGAACCCACAAGCCAGGTCTCCACTTGGTACAGGTAATTAAAGCACTGTCCACGGCACTCCTGGAAAGCCTGGGGACGCCCCGTGGCCCCTGCTGCAGGCATGGCCCACAGCCTGGCTGAGCACTGAGTGTCACCACAGGACACCTTCTTCCTTCAGGGGCCTGTGAATAATAAAGTGCTCTGGGCAGGTTGAGTCACCTGATGTGTCCCAGCCAACGACATGAACCCTTCTTCCCAGGGCAGGGCTCTCCCGAGAGTGGCCATCTTGGTCAGTATAAACTGGACATGGGTCAGACAAGAGCCACAGAGGCGTTTTCCAGTACAAACAAGTTTCCTGTGAGAGGGACACAGTTGGACACAGGCCTCAGGCCTCTGCCAAGACAAAGAAGTCTCCGTGAAAGGCTCCCTGCGAACATCCACGGCCAAGCCCCCAGGGCCAAGCCCCCAGGGCCGGGCAAGAGAGCTCAGGGCCACTTTCTAGAAAGACCCTGAGAGTCATCCTTCTGAGCCCACAGGCACTGTAGGGCAGGCCACCAACCCCCAGCGCCAAGGCCATGGGTGTGCTAAGGGACCCGCCCAGTGTGACAAGCCCGGGAGCCAGAGCTGCACAAGAGCTTCTTCAAGGTTTCCATAACGTGTGAGCACTCAGTACTCAATTCCCACAGCCTTCGAGTTAGACTGGCTATAAACATTAACATTTTAATATGACAATTATGAAACAACAGAAAAGTTAAGAGAAACTGGCAAATGACACCAATATCTAGAACTCTGCTGTTAGACACTAGTTAGCAGGAGCCTATCTGAACTTTACAGATAGGAACATAGAAGTCGCTGTGGCAATCTGAATACTGCGGATTTGGGAATACTGCAGATTCAGGAACAACACAGTCACTTTTACCTACACTGTAGTCCCATTTGTTTTTATAAAGAGACCCCAAAATGAAAACACAGAATGGCACCCTGTGGTTGTAGCCAGTGGTTCACAGACAATTACATCTAAAACAAGAACACTACACTATACAGCTCCCGGAACGGCTGGACTTCAAGTTCCAACTCACACGAAAAACTAGGGACTGTCACATAAAAGGTCACATCCCTTCAAAATCTAAGAAGGGACTGCTTTAGAATTGAGCTAAGGCACTCGAGTGGCCTACCTTTTGGTTGCGGGCACAGGGGTTTCCTTCCTGGCCCCGGAGGGGGACGGCAGGGAGCCGCTGGGTTTCTTTGGTAACACGGTGCCATTGTTGACGGTGGTTCTTAAAGGCAGGGTCTGCACCAGTGGTCTTGCTGTAAGACAAGCAGAAGAGGAATCAGAGCGTCCCCTGTAAGTGGTGCTGTACAGAACTTAAGCTCATGTAGAAAGGAAGAGGACGCCCATGTTTGGAATCCTTGCAGAGCTGGGTGTGGTGTGCCCGCTATGACCCCCGGGGACTGGGGGTCCAGGTGGGAGGATGGCAAGCTCCAGGCCAGCCTGGGCAACTTCAGGAGACCCTGTCTTAAAATACACAGTGAAGGGCTGGAGGTGGCTCAGTGGGAGAGTGCCCTGGGTTCAACCCCAGTCCTGGAAAATGAAAACAGCCAGAGAGCTGACGCAGGGAGGAAGGCGAGTCCTCCACCACGGGGTGCTCCTCAACCCGGAGGCCAGCTCACACCCCACACAGAAACGAGCTCAGAGAAACGTGCAAACGGGGCTGGGGCTGGGGCTCAGCAGTAGAGCGTTCGCCTAGCCCTGGGTCAATCCTCAGCACCATATAAAAATAAATAAAATGAAGGTATTATGTCCAACTACAACTAAAAAATAAATATTAAAAAAAAAGTGCAAAACTCTGACTTTCTAGAAGCAAGCACCTAGGGTCTGGTGATGGGATTATAGATACATCACCCATGAAAGAAAAAAATGGACAGCATGAGCCTCATTGAAATTCTCTTAAATTCCTGAAAGACACTTAAGAGGATGAAAGTACAAGTCATTGACTGGGAGAAAATAGTTGTGAACTACATACCTGACAAAGGGCTTGCATAAAGAAAATAAAAGGAACTCTCAAAATTCAACAACAAGAAAATAAACAGCCCAATGTAAAAAAAAAGGCAAAAGATCTGAAGACTTCTCACCAAAGATGTACAGATGGCAGATAAGCATATGAAAAGACACTCCCCATCACCTGTCATTAGGGAAATGCAAATTAAAACAATAATGAGATACCTCTACACACCTAGTAGAAGGGCTGAAATCCAGAACAGGTCAGACACCCTTGCTGGCCAGGACGCTGGGCCCCGGGACCCTCCTTCCTTGCTGGAGGGAAAGCAGTCGACACAGCCATTCCGGAAGACAGTCTGGCAGTTTATAAAGCTAAATGTAGGCTTACCATATGATCCAGTGATTGTGCTGACACTAGGTATTTACCCAATCCATTTGAAAACTTATGTCTACACAAACCTGCATGTAAATATTTAGAGCAGCTTCATTTGTGACTGTCATAAACTGGAAGCAATCAAGATTCCCCTAGACAGGTAAACAGAGAAACAAAGTGCTCTCGTCACAGAGTAGACATGACTTGGGATTTAAAAGGGACAAACCAAGGTACCAATAGCGTGGCTGAGTGAGCCACGCTGGGAGTTTGTGTCATTCCATTTACATGACATTCTGGAAGGGCACGTTGGCTGAGGCTGGTGTGGGGTCGAGCAGGAGACGTCCTAGGTTATTCTGTGATGCTGTGGTGGTGGATATATGCACCACGCCTTGTGAAAACCCAGAGACCCATCAAGAGTGGAACTGGATGTAACCAAGTAAAATCCAACGTGAAGATGGGGATCCGTGACGGAATGCAGATTGCAAACAAGAATCTACCTGCATTACGAAAACTTTTTTTTTTTTTTTTTCCCCAGCACTGAGGATTGAGCCCAGGACCTCCTGGAGGCTAGGCAAGTGCTCTGCCACACCTCCAGCCACACCTCCAGCCCTGACCCTACTGTAAATGCATGCCACAACCCCGCTGAGCAGGGTGAGGGGAAGTGACCACCTGGAAACTCTGGAGGTCAGAAGAGACTGGAAGACAAAGACAGAGGAACTGCGCAGAGCACGGTGTGTGCTGGTGGTGACCAGCCCTGGGAGGCAGTGGTGATGGTAGGAGCAGGGTCTCTCACTGGTGGAGATGAGTGACAGATAGGCAAGGGGGAGATAAGGAGAGAAACACTCAGCGACAGAGAACTCCCAAACCCAGGATTGAGGGGGCAGGCCAAAGGGACACAGGAGCCAACTGAAAGTTCCCAGTGGCCAAAGCTGGAACAGAGCACTGGATTGTAACCAAAGGGCAGTGTAGGTATTCATAAGCACAGACTGAAAAATAAATGACTGCACTCACCCCGCCCCCCAAAATAAAATTAAATAAATAAATGGTTGCATGAATAAATAAACGGGGACACCCCCAGGMAGAATGACAATGTCCATGTTCTTGACTTTTATAGGTACTCCCTCCAGAAGGCAGGGCTCAACTCMCACTCCTTCAGTGTGGGTGGCCCAGTGATTTCCTTCCAAACAGGACACAAGGTGGAGCAGGGAAAGCCGGACCCCTCACAAGGTGGTCAATACGGGCAGAGGTGAGTCACGCCCAGGACCTGTACCCTGGCAGGAGATGGGAAGAGAGTGACACTCGCCATGGTCTTCCTGCCTGAAACCACAACCTGAGGCTAATCAGGAGTGCAGAAGGCGGTCCCCTACACTGAAGGCCAAGGGACCCCCTGACCAGAATTCCCCCAAACTGCCCAGTCATCAAAACAGGGGGYCCGTCAGTCTAGCAGGGCCTAGGGAGACAGATGACTAAGCAACATGGTGTCCTGGATGGATGGGTTCCTAGGATACAGCAAAGGCAGGGGCAGTGAGGAATCTGACAGAGGATGGGCTTTCGTTAACACTGTACCAACAGTGGCCCCAGAGAATCGTGAGCAAGAAGGTCACTGGCACAGGGTCCAGGGGACTGCCTGCCCCTGCAACCCTTCGGTAAATATAAGCTATTCTAAAATAAAAGTTCATTTCAAAACACTAGCATGATTACTTGTTAATCACAAAATTACATCTGCCTTAAATTTAGGGTCTTCAAACTACCCATGACAATTCCACACAAAATGCCAATTTTAAAATACCTTCTAGGGGCTGGGGATGTGGCTCAAGCGGTAGCGTGCTCGCCTGGCACGCTTGCGGCCCGGGTTCGATCCTCAGCACCACATACAAAAAAAGATGTTGTGTCCGCCGAGAACTAATAAATAAATATTAAAAAAAAATAAAATAAAATACCTTCTAGTGCTGAGGTAGAGGGACATACTCCCTTGTTATTTTAATGCAAATAAAGTGGAAAGCCAATAAGCCAGCACCAGGGAGCAGCCCCCCTTCACTCCTGAACAGCTTGCCCGCCATGGGCCTGGCCCTCCTCAGTAGACACGTTGTGGCTCCCATCCAAGACTTCAGTCTCTCTCTCACATCTGCTCTCCTTCCTGCTATCCGCCTCATCTCAGCCTCCTCTCTCGGCCCTACCCACCTTTCAGTCTCATCCATTCTTTAAGAATACACAGTGGCCGGAGTTATAGCTCAGCAGTAGAGCGCTTGCCTAGCACATGTGAGGCCCTGGGTTCGATCCTCAGCACCACATAAAAACAAATAAAGGTATTGTATCCATCTACAACTAAAAAATTTTATATATATATATATATATATATATATATATATATATATATATATGAATATACATACTGAGCTCCTAATTTGGATRYACCAAATTTGCATCCACTGGGAACCTCAGAATATGGCTGTATTTGGAAACTGGGYCTTTGCAGGTGTTATCAAGGTAGGGAGCCAGATGAAACCATTGGATTGAGTGGTTCCTAAACACAGTGAGAGTTCCCTCGCAAGAAGGCCATGTGTGGACGCCCAGGGGAAGGCTGTGTGAGGAGGCAGGGACCAGCATTATGTGTCTCCAGCTAAGGAGCACCGAAGACTTCAGGAGCCACCAGAAGCTAGTGGAGCCGTGGAGCAGCGCTCCCTTGGAGTACAGAAGGAACWACCTGCTGACACCTTGATTTGGGCCCAGAGAATGAGTGGGCTTTGGTGGCACTGTCCTTTTTGTCCCCACTGTTGCTCTCTCTGAGTCTCCCCTCTCAGCCTTCCAGCACCAGCACATCTCCCGCCATCTGCTTCTGTCCAATCCAGTCTCCTTACAGCTCTGGTCAGAACACCCCAGCAACACTCCTGTCTGCCAGGCAACCAGCGCAAGCTTCATAAAAGAAGGTTCGATGCATAAAAAATTGCTAGTGAGTTTTAAATTAAAGAGGCAGACTCTCATTTACTTTTATTCCCAGCTCTGGGACAGCTTCTCTTAGCTCCCGCCTCCAGCCACCTAATGTGGTGGAGAGGTTTACAGAAGAGACTAGCGAGAGAGGGAGTGCACCCCAGGGAGTGAGCTTTTATTGGGGAACAAAAAATTCMAGGGAAAATCCCATCCAATGAAGGCTAAGGGGGGCAGCATCCCAAGGTCAGGGCCAGCTATTGGGTCTTCGGGGCAGTGGCCAGGCACGCCTCTGCACGGACAAGCCCTCGTACCTGGGACAGGGTGGGAAAGGCTCTGACACGGCTGTGTCTAAGCGCCTCTCACCCAGCCAGGGAGGTAGCTCAAATCACATGCGAGGATGGCCTCCCACACTCCTGGGCCCTGGGGAGCCTGCTGCTACACCTGCTACAGGTGGTCAGTCCAGGCAAAATGCAACCGCTGGAACGACAGCAGTCCCCAAGCGCCTGGAGCTGGGCAGGGTCAGCAGTGTGGAGCACACGGCGTCTCCTGACCAGCACTGAGGCCTGGCCTGACTCCCACTTTACAACCAGGTCTCAGGAGAAGGGAGGCTGGCCTGCCCCCCGAGGGCTGGGCTTGCAGGCGTGCTCCACCACACCTGGCTGCTCGTTCCTTCTTGAATTATAGTTCAAATTCAGCCTCATAATAACCTAGCATTGCCCTTCTCCCTAAAGCAGAAATAGGATTTTAAAAGCCTRTGTAATGAAAACTAAGTGCATGCTGCATGGCGTATAAGAAATTTTACCTTAAAATCTACCAGAGTAGCATCAGAAGTAGACAGAACTACTGGAGCTGGGCTGAGAAATCAGGGAAGGATAGAGGGAGAAGGGAGGGAGGGCCAGGGAGCACCCTTGGGATGAGGCTGGGAAGCTCCCVCACTGGCAAGATCACTTCCAGCCACACCCCCCACATGTGACACCACTGGCCTCTCCCACACCAGCATCACC